GTAGCACTTTAAAACATCAAGCTAATAAAGTATTGTCAACATCCCACTATAATTTAACCTTATGTCAAGAGCTAAAGATTGAGACTTTGTGATGAAAGCTCCACCACTATGTATGAAATATACTTTCAAAAGAAAGTTGGAAATAATGCCAAAGTCTTTATGGTTCAATGGGAATTTAATTAAGTTGTGATGTGTGGCACAATTCATGAATTCAATTAGTGCTACAAGCGTTCATCTTATGAACACACAATAAGATTGGGAATAAATGTTGGTTAAGAATCTTCTTCTTCTTGTTTGTTCCTAAATGAATTAATATAATATTTCTATATGAAACAAATTGATATAAAAGGCTTATATTGCATGGTTTGTAATCCCAATAAAAGAGAGAGATGATGAAAAGCTAGAAGTAAAAAAATACATGAATGCATTATCGATGTGTTATAGAGATCCTTGTACATGAATCAAAAGTTCATATAATGTTGCATTCATGAAATAAAATAGTTGCCCGATATGTAAATATTGATAAAAAGAAGAAATTTCGAATTCATGCTCCAGCTAATAATGCTCCTAAGGTATAAATAAAAATAAATCACACCTGAAGCGTGAAAGGCTAATTAATTGCAAAGAAAAAATATTATAGAAAGAAAAAGGAGCAAATAAGTGAGATGATCATATTAAGGAGGCTGACATTCTAGAAGAGGCTAAGACATAACTAACTTTAAGTCCCTAGAAGAGGATCAGGTACCTGATAATAATAAAGGGATATTGAAAAGTTATGTCAATATGAGAATTGATGGAACCAAAAAGATGAGAGTTGTCACCAACACTTTCAATGAGAATGAAATATCACTATCAAATGAGGATTTTGATAGAATAAAAAAAAGGATGCAATACAAGTAGAATTATATTCACTTGTTTATGATATGAAAGTTATGAACTAATAGTTCAAGCACTTAAAGTATGAGATTATATATGAGCATTTATGTAAAAAAAAAAATGAAATGTCACATTCAAAACTTGACTTTCAATATAAGAATTTCTCACAAGGATTCAAAATATGCATTAATATAATGTGTGATGAATGAAAAGATTTTTGATATGTTATTACTTTGGCAGTATAAAAATTTGATATGCATCTACTAAATGGTAGCTTTAAGAGACTTTCTTGTTCATTATATTTGTTCATATGATTATATACATATTGATTTGCATCAGATTTGATTAATTGGGCATTATTGAATATCCTAAAGAGTTTATATGAAAACTTAATTGTTAGAGAAATATGTTAAAATATTAGATGATTAGATGAGAATCAAGATTATTTTTCTTCAAGAAGATGATGAAATATGATCCTGAAGCATCATATATGAATGCTTTCATATCAAAATTTATGATATTGCCTTAATTTACAATGAAGCTATGTACTTGATATGATATGCTTGAAGAATTATTATATGTGGTTGATTTATTGAACTTAATTAGAATCAAAATCAATCGATTATGCATGTGTTATATATGTTTAGTTTGAACTATACAAGTTGACTTTTGAGAGATTATTTATTTATGAAAATACATGTATATCAAATTATTTTTCTACTCTCACAAGATATACCACAAGTGAAGAATGTGTTCATATTCAGAAGATATATTTAAAAAGACGACTCAAAGGCATCAGCAACAATAATATTCAAAAAATTAACACACAAGTTAGGATACAATGACTCAAGAAGACTAAATAACACGGGGTGATATCATCATCAGGGGGAGTAAAGGTTATGCTGTACTCTTTTTTCTTAACCAAGGTTTTGTCCCATTGAGTTTTCCTGATAAGATTTTTAATGAGGCAACTTCAATAATTATGATGATATTGTGTACTCTTTTTTCTTAACTAAGTTTTTATCCCATTGGGTTTTTCTTATTAAGGTTTTAATTTGGCCCAATATTTGAACATTCAAGGGAGAGTGTTAAGAATATTATAATATTATATGAATGTCCATTATCTCAGATTTGTCAATATTTTTCGGTTCCTATAATATCTTCAAATTATTATTATCTTTTATATTTATTCACTTTAATTGATATATTTGTGTCTATAAATAAAAGACACCTCAATTGTATTTGACATACTGAAAATACAAAAGTTCTCTATTTTATTATTGTTTCACTATAGTTTTCTCTCTTCTCTCCTCCTTTCAACTTCTATTTTCATAACAATTATAAATTTGTTATCTTTAGATTAAAAATGACATAAAAATAAAATGCAATCAACAATAAATAAGGAACTAATGCTTAGCTTAGATGGAGGAGAAAGTGGAAAGAGACAGTAAGGACAGAAAATTATGAAAAGAAATGGGAAAATTTCAATAAACCCCCAATGACTAAACTTTACAATAAATCCTTGTAAAATTTTGAAACATTAGTTCAATTTTTATAGGTCCCATTTAGGCTAAATTGAAATTGAGTTTTTAAGGAAAATGACACAAATAACCACAATCTCCTTAAATAAAAACAGCTGACATAGAAAAAATAAACAATTAACGTATGAAAAGTGAATAACTAACATATAAGAAATTTGCAACTCATTAATAGCATCATACCATTATAAATAAAAACAAGCAAAGCTAGGCATATGAATAATTGATATATGAAAAATAAGTAGCTAATGTAGGTAGAATTTGCAACTTATATCAGCAGTATAACACCATTATGAATATAAACAAGTGAAATTAGGTGCATGAATAACTTGTAAAGGAAAAATGAATAATTGATGCATGAAAAATGAAAAACTGACATAGGTGGAATTTGCAACTCTTATTAATAGCATAAACAATTTATGTAGTTATGAAAAAAATAAACAACTAATTTGATGATCCACCCCTAAGGTGTCGAATCTTTATGAGTGTAGACTTGACCTAATTTCTTCTTCCTACACATTTTTTCTGTGACCTTATATTAAAAAAAACAATTGATGTAGTAGATGGAGGTTATTTGTGTCGTTTCTCTCAAAAACTTAATTTTAATTTTGCCCAAATGAAACCATGGTGACTAAACTGATGTTTCAGAATTTTATGGGTTGATTGTAAATAAGTTTGGCTAGGGTTTAATGAAAAATTTCCAAAAAACATTCAAAAGATAATAATTTTTTTCCTTAATAACGTGGCACCTGATGGTGGAATTTGTACAATTTACAAAGTTGTATGCAATGAAAAAGAGTTTTAATTCAATGAAATAAAAAAAGAAAGAATTTAGTGCATGAGTATCATTATAATATGCAATTTTATAACAATAACAACAACAAGCCTTATCTCACTAGATAGAGTCAGCTATATAGATTATATGACGGCATTGTACTATATCATTTATTAAGCTTTTAGAAATATTGTTAATTAAGATGTCTCAATCAACAACTTTCAAAAGTGTTCTGTTTGGCCTTCCTCTACCCTTTTGACAATGCTCAAAGTTATTTGTTTCACTCTTCTAACATGTGCCTCTCATGGTCTTTTTTGTATATGTCCAAACCACCTTAAATGATTTTCTATTATTTTTCCTTCAATAGGTGCGATGCCCACTTTTTTCCATATACGCTCATTTTTATTTTGTTTTTACGTGTATGTTCGCATATCCATCTCAAAATTCCCATCTCTACTGCTTTAACTTTAACTTTATGCTCTTGTTATCCTGTTAAAGCTCAACATTCACTACCATATAGCAGCGCTGGTCTTATAACAATTTAATAAAACTTCTCTTTAAGTTTATTTGGTATTTTTTGATCGTAAATAATTCCTTTAGCCTTTTTTCAATTAAATCACCCAGTTTGTATCGTATATGCAATATCTCTATCAATTTTCCTATTATATTGAATAATCGCTTTTAAATATCTAAACTTTTCACTTGAGGTATAATTTGATCACCCAATTTCACTTCCAAATTACCACTTACTGACCTCTTATTAAAATTACAATGTAAATATTTTGTTTTACTCCCACTCAAACGAAAACCTTTTGATTTCATTGTCCTCCTCCATAACTTAAGTTTACAGTTAATTTTCTCTCTTGTCTTCACAATAAAAACTATATCATCTGTGAAAAGCATGCATTTAGGAATTTCCTTTTAAATATACTCAGTTAAAACATTTAAGATGAGATCAAATAAATAAGGATTCAAAGATGATCTCTGATGCAGTTCAATTTTTATAGAAAAGTCTTTTGTTTCACCACTATAGTTCTTATACTAGTTGTTGCTCCCTTACACATGTCTTATATAGCTCGAATATAGCCAACCCGGAAACCCTTCTTTTCTAATGCCTTCTAAAGTACTTTTTAAGGTACTCGATCATAAGCTTTTTTCAAATCAATGAAAATTATATGTAAATTTTTACCTTTATATCAATGCTTTTTCATTAATTCCCTTAGTAAATAGGACGTTTTTGTAGTTTTTCTACTTGGCATGAAGCCAAACTGATTCTCAAAGATATTAGTTTTCAATCTCAACCTATACTAAATCATTCTTTTTCACAATTTCATCGTATGACTCATAAGTTTAATATCTCTATAGTTAGTACAATTCTAAATATCCTTTTTTATTTTTGTAAATAGGAACTAAGGTTCTTTGACTATAATATCTCATTAAATAACTTAGTTAACTATTACACCCCTTCCTTACCAAAACAATTTCACACTTCAATAAGGACATAACAAGTCCATTAGTTCTGCTATTTATCATTTTCTTAAGAACTTCATTTACTTCCCAATCTCGTACCTTTCTATAAAATGACAAATTTTGTTCTCATATAGGAATTATTAAATCCTTTGAGTTAATATGCAACTTTATAACAAATTATATAATTCATTTTTTAAGTTTAGTGAAATATAGGAAAAAGATGTTTATTTTTCTTATTCTTATATGTTTAATTTGTGGTTATTGTATTGTAATGGGAATAAAAATGATTAATGATAGTGATTAATATTAATATTAATATATACAGCCATGGTTACATTGGGTGGTGCGGGGAGCGGGAGCGCGGAGAGGAGGCGGCCAGGGAAGGAGATCACAAACAAAAGCTGAAACACACTCCGCCACTGACACCATCGTTGTTCAGATCTTCAGGCGCTGCTTCTTCGATTCTCTTGCGTCCTCCAGAGAGACACGCCGACTAGCAATATGGTATCGTCTCAGGTGGTCAACACATACCCGCTTTCCAGCTACACCTTCGGGACCAAGGAGCCCAAGATGGAGAAGGACACCTCCGTCGCTGATCGACTTGCTCGTATGAAAGTCAAGTTAGTCTCTTTTCTCCATTTACTATCGCTCTCTTCGGCTTCGTCTCGTCAAACTTCATTAACCCTAGAACGACCTTAACTGTTCTCTCCCTGGATGCCCCTTTTCAATTTGCTCTGAATGTGGATATTTCGCTTTAAAAAAACTTTGCCATTTGCAATCATTTAAAAAAATTGATAAATTAAGTATAATAAACTCATGTTGTGCAACCTTTTTTATGGTAACTGTGCTGCTGGCATGGGATTGGGACTAAGGCATTCTGCGATACTTGCTCGTTTCTTTATTTTTGGTTTCTTTTTGTGAGTAAAGAAGCCTGTGGAATCTCTGAAATTTTTGTTTGGTAAATTTTGATGAAGTCTTGTCATTATTTTTTCCCGAAATGACAACATTTAGTTTTTGCTGATTTCTCAACACTCCATGAAAAGCCAACTTCAGGAGATCTGTTCCTAGAAAGAACCTATATGGGGAGAATATGATATTTTTAGTGTCAGAAATGATTTTGAATTGCCAAATAGGGTGTAACTGTTTCTGCTATCATTTGTTAAGTTTCCTTCGAAATGAGGTTCCTGGCATAAGCATTGTAGTTTTTTGTATTCTACTCCTATGCATTGCTCATGTCCAAATATAACCATAACGTTCTCAAATGGAATTATTTCTGAGCTGCAGTTACATGAAGGAAGGGATGAGGACCAGCGTAGAGGGCATCTTATTGGTATGTTCTGTGACTTATCGCTTATTGTTTTGCCAGTATCTTTATATCTTTGTTTCCCACACAGTAGTTTATTCCATTGGAAAGCTGTGGACTAGCAGTTTGTGTTGACATGTTATATGATTTTATTAGCGACTAATTTATTATTTTCTGTATGTGGTATTCATGCTTTCAATTATGTTATCATCTCCTTTTTGTCATATCAATGTATATATTATCTTCACACCATAGATAATCTGCCCCAGACATTGGGAGCGCGACCTTTATTTACTCCTTGTTGAGCACTGGCTTAGGGGCTTTGATTCTTGGGAGGATTACATGACTGTAAATTGAGAAACTTTAAGATTTGGTTTTGGCTCTTTATACTTCCTAGACATCTCGTGCATACAGTGAATTACATAAACCTTTTTTGAAGCATGGCAAAATCACTTTCATACTGGTGTAGCCAGGTTGAGAAGAAGGAAGGGCCACCACTGTAAATTTGAGTTCTGTGCCTCATGCCTAAACAATGTCTGGTTCATTCTTGCCCCTTCATTGTGCATACCTATCTTTCTTGTAGGAATTATTGTATACTCTATTTTTTTGGCCAATAATTATATACCCTAATTTAAGTTTTGGTCTAAAAATCAATTCCATTCTCTAAGCTTTTACTTTTAGAAAGTACAGGTGCTTAGAAATGCCAATCCCTTATCTTTTATAAGAAATGCGCAAATGTTAAATATGAGTCTAGATATTGTCGACCCCAGAATAGTAAGAGAGGATTAAAGGAGAAGCTGTGCATCGTTACAAGATCAAGTTTCATTAGGGAGACAACAAGGATTTTGAATTATACATGGGAATATGTATTGAAAATTAAACTATGGATGCTGTGCTGTTTCCGTTTCTTTATTCAAAGTAGATATCATATATGCACTTTCTGAAGCAACTCATGTAATGGCAGTATACTCCAAGGGGTCTGTGTAACTCACTCTTCCCTGCATTTGCTTAAAATGTCATCTTGGCAATCAGATTATAGGCTGACATCATTGCCCATGGAAAATGAATATTCTGTTGTGTTTTGACAAGTAGAGAAGTGTAAAATATTGGGCAAACACTTATAATGTTGGCCGTAGCTATTCTTATGCTGGTTGCTCTTTTTTTCTTGTGCTAAATGTTCTAATATCCTACCATTACATTCTCATGCATGACATTACTGGGTTTGAAAAAGGTTTTTGCTTTCTACTTTTATGGATCTGCACTGGGCATTTTCGTTATTCTCTGGTCTTAGCATATGTATTTTGCAGGTACAAGAACACAATCATCCTCACATACTTCTTTTACAAATTGGAAATACCTTCTGCAAACTTCCAGGTGGACGCCTCAAGCCAGGGGAGAATGGTAAGGTCTTGCATTTCCTGATTCAAAATATCAAATTATCGGAAAATATTAAGTTTTATTTATCCCTTATGAACTGTTTTCTTTTGTGGGACAGAAATTGAGGGCCTGAGGAGAAAGTTGACCAGCAAGCTTGGTGCTAATTCACCAGCCCTTGTGCCAGACTGGCAGGTATCATTACCCATGATATTACTCCCTGGGACTCAAAACAAAGATTTAAATGTAACTAAGTAAGAATAGATGACGGTTAACGTTAGGAAGTATGGGGATGGGAAATGGAGACAATTTCTGTCCTGTTGAACAGTCAAGCAAGAATGATGATTGTTGACCAAAATAAAAGGGCAAGGTTAATTGTTTTTAGATTTTATGCCCATGGGCACGTGTGTAATTTTCTCTAATGGTTTAATCACGGATGCAGATGGTAGTGTCAGACACATGATTGAAGCTCATCTTCTTTGAGATTTATGCAGGCTTGCAACTAATTTTCAATGCATATGATGTTGTTGAACTTCACTTTGATGCAGATAGGTGAGTGTGTCGCAATCTGGTGGAGGCCAAACTTTGAAACCATTATGTATCCATACTGCCCTCCTCACATAACAAAACCGAAGGTGATTTGTCAAGAATATATAATTGGATATGCAATATCTCCCTGACTCTCTGGGTCCATGCTTACGAATGTGTGATTAATCTATGCAGGAGTGCAAAAAACTTTTCCTTGTCCACCTCTCTGAGAGGGAGTACTTTGCAGTGCCCAAAAACCTTAAACTTCTTGCTGTCCCGTTGTTTGAACTGTATGACAATGTTCAGGTATGGTTATGGCTGTATTTGGTTTGAAAAACTCAATGTGGTAGGTTTATTGTTGAAGTAATTTAAATGTGGAGACTTTTAACTGAATCTGCTCAAGTATGGGAATTCGATCAATTTGATGTGGCCAATTTTTGGGCTTGTCTAAAATGTTGTTTACTATTTGGGAGTCATAATAGAAGTTTTTCAATGCTTGCCATTTGCAATTTCTTGATTATAGCAGTTACAATTTTTTTCCTATATTGACATTTGTGCATATCATAACTAATTTGCTCTGTTGCAGAGATATGGCCCTGTTATATCCACAATTCCTCAGCAGCTCTCCAGATTCCAGTTTAAGATGATCGCGAATTGAATTTAAATCAGGATCTTCTGTCCTGACGGCATAGTATTGCAGTCCTTTAGTATTCCAAGAACAATCACTGTTTATCCTTTGTTATCATTGCATAGACAGGCTAGTGTGCCGAATTTGACATTCAATTTTCTGGAGAGAAATAGAGAAATAGACTGGCTATAGGCTGCTTTATGACATGATTTCTATGTTAATTGTTAGACTATCGATTGATGTATTGACTGATTCTTGTATTTTGTACAAGTTACAACCTTGTATTTGTCTTGAGTCCTAGGAGGTTGCTCTTTGTGTACTACTAACAAGTAGATAGTTAAGCTTGCCCTTGGAAAGAGGGATGACTGGTGTCTGATTCTGGTTGCGTTGTGATTACCATGATACCGGCTGTTGCAGATGCGGCGATCCAGGTTGCCCTAATTTTGTTAGTCTTGTATGACAATTTCAGCCAGTCTCAACTGAGTTAATAGTTAGAGAATAGGGTGACGGCCCTTCATTTGATTCACTTATGAAAGATTTAAAGCCATAGCTGTAATGTGTAGGATTTGAATGCAAAATTGTGATTGTATGGTTTTGTATGGGATGGCCTGGGGATGGTACTATTTAGAAATTGGGATTTGAGGTTTGTACTGTGTACCGAACTCGGCTCCGCGTGAAACATTATCAGGCAGGCTTCTGTTTTTGTAAATTGAATCTTGCTAACATTCTATGCCCTTATCCTGGCGTTTTCAATGTTCATTCTTAATACTCTGCAAATTCTTAATAAATTTGACAAAGCCCTGAATTAGACGTTTTATATTTACATGGCAACAGTTTAAACTTTGCAATGTATGGGAGGCTTTGGTATATTGTTGATAAACATCAAACATATTTAAAATAATCGAAGCCACTTAAGATGAAAATGTGTAACGGTTATTGTAATTTATTTGTGTTTAATTTTTCAGTCCCGGCAATTTTATATCATAAATTTGATCAATTGATGACGTGTATCCCCATGGTTTATAGAATGTACATATGAGCTGGTAATAATAGAGTTAATTTCATTACATTTTGCAAGCTTAATATGCTGACGAGAACATAAATTGATTAGATATAATTAAAAATAAGAGATAAGGGAAAAGAAAACCTTTTTTATTTGGTTTGAATAAAATGTAGAAGATAAAGGTGAATTGTCCCATTAAATAGCTAACCATTGCAGTGGATCAAACTAAAAAGAGAGATTGAAAATAATGAAACGAAACTACAAAAATAAAAAACAAAAAGTTAATCAAATTACATGGACTTACTGCTACTATTATTATTATTTTTAAAAGTTCTTGCACCGTCTAGGAAGGGGATCGAAGAAGAGACAAAAGACAGATGCCGAGTACAAGGAAGAGATGATATCAGAACCTAAGGATGCAAACCATGATTGCCATGATAAACTGAGAAATGACTTGTTCAAAGTAACTTTTCAAGTCTTAAGTATATTAGTTAGAAATCAGAGGTCATATATCTCCTTTCTTTTATTTTTAATAATAAAAAAAAATCTTTCATTTTCTTCTCTCACTTTTTGCAGCCACTCAAATCATTTTCCATGGTAGTTCAAGTCATTTTTCAAGCCTTAAATATTAGTTAGAAATCAAAAGTCATATATCTCCTCTCTTTTATTTTTAATAAAAAAAATTGTTTCATTTTCTTCTCTCACTTCTTGCAGCCACTCAAATCATTTTCCATGGTAGCAACCACCGTCATTCTAGTCGTCACCAATACTTCATCATTGAATTAAATATTCAAGTAGAAATTGAGAAAGCCAATCCTATGAACTCCATGAGATAACTCTGAGCTGTTTCATTCTCTAAGTCTTAAGTTAAGCAATTTCAACCGTAAATGGGAAAAATTTTTGTTAGGTAAACGATTAAATTAAAAGGACGGAACATCGGCCGTTTTAAACAAAGACCAAGCCAAGATGGTTCTTGAATTCATATTTTAGATAATATTGATATGAGCAATACACTGCAAAAGTAATAATTGACTTTTTGGCTGGACATTTTATTTCCGCTTTAGATTTGTTGGGCCTAACTCAATCGTGCTACAAAACCTCAAATGATAAAACTCTTCACCTTTTGATTAGGTCGAAATACAACAGATTTAAACAATACTCTCTCTGATTTTATTTATAAAATATTTTTTGAAATTATTTTTTTAATAAAAATACATCTCATTTTTTATACTATCAAGAAAAAATTAAATTTTCTTAATATAAATGAAATGGTTAAAAGCATCTTATAACAATAATCAGAAGTATATGCTTAACAAGTCAAATTCCTTGTGGTTTATTAAATATTCATACACTAACACCAATATAGGAAAACTTTTTTCAAAAGACTTGCATTGTGGGAGCAATAAACAATTGTTTCAAACGACTTTAAAAATTTATTAAAAATATTTTATTTTGAATAAATTCGGATAATAATTGTGATTTTTGAACAGAATTTTTACAAAATTTGATCATTGGATAAGTACTATTCAAGGAAGAAGTTCATATTATTATTAAAATGATAGGAATATGAAAGAAGAAGAAGAAGAAGTCTTGGTCAATCTCCTGATAATGACTGTATTCCACAAGAAAAGTGCTAGCATGGGAAAGGAACATGAGAATACAAAGGACGTGAGGTAAATACAAATATATGTTAATCTCTAATTTTATTTAATTTTTAACCCTAGGTGTTGTTTTGTTCAATTTGCCAATTTTTTTGGGAAAGTATACCTATCAAGAAATTTATAATCGATTGCTAATTTTATTTTTTGATTCCCAAGAAATATAAACTATTTTTAAAATAAATATTTTTTAATGCAACAATGTCTTTTAAATGAATTTTATTTCATAAACTGTCAAGTAGGCTTAGCAATAAATAAATATTAGAAAACTACTACTTACTGGCTGTAATTCTTTAAAAATGAGTGGGATTAAATTTGTGACCTTTCATAAATAAAATCATTATTAAAAGAGATACCTATATTTAATACTTTAGCGTGACTATGCATATGAGTAAAAAAAAATAAAAAACAAAAATTATATGCCATTAAGTCACAAAACTACTGATAAAAGTTCCACAAGTTAATAAATTATTTTTTTAGTTATAAGAAAAGCTAGAAGCCTTATAATAAATTAAATAACTAAAGTCCTTTTTTTTTTCTTCGAGTGAGTAAAGTTTATTAATTTCTTATAAGGTCTAACTTTGTCTTTTTAGTTTTTACTTTCATGATTTTATCCACCTGACTCTTTTAGCCTCTATTATTATATTTTTTTTCATAAGAATATACTTTTTAAAGTTTTAAATTTACTTTATTATTATCAATGCTCTTATCATTTTATAATCACAAATAATATATATACATACAAACTGTTGAAAGAATATATAAAAAATTATATTGAAAAAATTTAACAAATACTCACAATTTTTTCGGTGATTAAAAAGCTTAGTTGAGGCATGTTCTGATACTAACTCAATTAAAAAATTTTAAACTAGAAAAACTAACTTAAAAATTAAATAAAATTATACAAAAGTGTAATTTTTTAAAGAACTTCACTGACCAGTTGTTAGCAAATCTAAATTTTACAGCCGGTTAATCGTTAAAAAAAAAAATTACAACTGGTTATGTATAACTTAATTTCCTGATTTCCCCTTCGTACTTTGAGTTGGGTTTAGACTTGACCAGGGAGAGTTTACTTTTAGGTTGTATTAAAATCCGTCGAATTTTCTATCTGATCTAAATATAAATATTTTAAAATCTGAGATAAATGATAACATTTAAAATTATCAAGAATTTCACGCTTAGCTCTAATTCAAACGTAAGTCTACTAATTCCATGCCTCACATAGACTTAATGAATTATTGGGACAGAGTCATGTGGCATTCAAAAATCAAAATCAAATGCACCAAAATGTTTTTCTACAGTAATTTAACTTCCTATTATTATTTGAACTAAAAATAGTATTTCTTATATTAATTAACAAGGAAGTAATTAGATTCGGAGCACCTAGCACTGTTCAATTGGCCAGCCGGTGTCATCTAGAAAGATGTCACCATCACTCTCAATTATTAATTAATTAATTAATCTGTCCCTTTATCATAATAATGAGTTGATTATTGAACACTTAAACAAATCTAAATTAATTATACATCAATGAGATATATGTTTTATTTTGCTTTATGTTATGGGGGCATAAAGATTTTGAGCATCAAGGAAACAGGCATATCCGAAAAGTGAAGGGGCTGGTTTTTGTGATATTAATAAATTTCTTATGTTGTTTCTCAATAATATAAAATGGAAATTCTGGCCAAAAAATGAAGGAAAAAGTAGTAGATAGATATCAGTGTACAAATTATCAAATACTTGATTTATTTTAAATTATAAAATATTTTTAGACAAATTCACACATATTAATAAAGTTTATTAAATATACTTTACATTTATTAAATAATATTAAGGAAAGAGAGGATATATAAAAATGATAATATTAAAAAAATATTATTAATAAATTTTTATTTTTTATCAAAGTATTTTATATTTTAAAAAATCAAATCTCCTACAAAAATATTCTATAATTTTGGACCCTCCAAAAAACATGGCTTTGATTTGGGGTAGCTCTCTGAAGTATTTTTTACATTTAAATAAACTCAAGCTTGAGACATTGTAACATTGTATTTAAATAATTTTAACTCCTTTTATTGAGATCAACAGCTATTGGTATATATTATCAAATGTTAAATGTATCACTTAATTAAACCCATTGGTGATTAAATAATAATTTGGTCCTCATCATGCCAAGCACGGCCCAAATGAATCAATATATATTTTAAAAATAGATAAACACATATTATTGCTAGTTTTGGCCAATAATTCATATTTTGTCGTTAAAAGTAAAACCTTGATGTACATGAATATGTTATGACTTTTGTTATTGGATAAAATACACATTTAATCTTTTAATTTTGTATGAGTTTTTACTTTAATCCCTTAAGTTTATGAAATATTTTTTTTAACTTTTTAACCCTAACATTATTAATTTTATTGATACGAATTTTTTATATTAAAATTTTAAATATTAATAAAATATTTTTAAATGTTGATATATTAAATTTAATTTTTTTAAAAATAATAATAATTGGCATGAAAAATAATCTTTTGAAACTAGCTGTGTTATTAGAGAATTGAAAAAATACTTTATAAGATTAAAAGACTAAAGTAAAACTTTATACTCTCTCTATTAAAAAATATAAAGTATTTTTTATCCAATCTCACTATATAATAAAGTAATTAATTGTCTTAAAACTAACATAATCTTTTTATATTTAATTTTATTTAATAGGATGTTTTACTTTAAAATAAATATAAAATGATTTATTTTTTATATGAACTTTTAAAAGACATATTAATTATATCTTGAAATATTAAAAATCTCTTGTATTTTTTAACATTCAATTTTTAAAAAATACTTTACATTATTGATTATAAAAAGTATATAAAGTTAGAAAATTAAAAATATATTTTAGTCTTTGTTATTTATAAACATACATTAAGAATAATGCATTATATTTTTTTTTGGCTGAAAGAAGAACAATGCATTATATATTTTAAAAAAACTAATACAAAATAATAACAACGTTTATAATAAATTTATTAACTTGCTATAACTAATGTATTAAAAATTAAATCGAGTCAAACAATTTGATCGATTAGACTATTGGCTAAACGGCATAGCAGCTTGGCTTTCTCCAAAAAATCATTTAAAGGGTTGAGTTAAGTTGCATCGTGTAAAGAATTGAGAATTGTTGTTAGACCAAGTTGAGATGGCAAATTGGATTGGTTTGAAGCTTTAAAAAAAAATAAAATTAAATGACAATGTTGAGTGAGCCAAACCTAAATCAAAATTATAAATCCTTAATCAATATATTTTTTTAATAATTCACATGGTGGGAAAAAATAGTAAAAATAAGTTCATGTTTTTATTTTAATAATAATTCATTCGTATTAATTTGTATTTGTGAATAATTTTTTTTGTCAAGCCATTGGACGTGATTCTCCCTTCTATATTCATATTTTTTTAATAATTTTCTATTTATATTATATATATAATATTTTTATTTAATTATTATATTATTAATTCGACTATTAATTTAATTAGTTAGTTCATAAAAACATTGAACCGCTTGTCTGGTTCGCAGTCACGTTAGGCTTGTAAAACACTGATTGTAACGAAATCAGATTTAATAAACAGTGTCGCATTTAAAATATACTTGGCGTCTCACACAAGTTATTCAGGAAAAATAAATGGTCCTTGCTCCTTTTAGAAGGGACAAACGCGTGCGTGACAAATATGCCTAATTGTTCTTAGTTTTTCAACGAACTAATTATTATTATTATTATTAAGTACAAGATTTGGTTTATTTACTGTATTCTTTAGTTAAAACTGAAAAGAAAAATATAATTTAATTTACGAATTGAGGCATCACGTTGGCCAATTCTCAACAATAATTGCGATTCCTTGTTTATGTCAACAAGTCACCAATCCAATAATCTAATAATTCATTAAATTATGAGATAATCAAATTTGAAATTACTGAAATATCGTACCCCACACTTCACACTTGCACGCGCTCCTAAATGTCATCAAGTCAATGGTGTCGTGAATCGTTATCTGCACAAGCATGCATCTATGTACATTTGTGCTTGCACTTTGTATATAATTATTATTATTTTATTTTTAATTACATGTATACCATAACACATAAACCTAGTAGTAGTATTAGTGTGTGTGTGTATATCTTCTGTATTTTTTAATATAAGTTTCAATTTTTTTAAAAAAGACACAAACTAGGGAAATACTCATAAAATTTACGCGATACAAAAGTTTTTTCATTTCTAATCATACCCTCGTCTATGAGATGAGAGCTGAAAGCGAGAGAGTTCACTTTTAAATGGTGAGAGGTGTAATTTATATTTGCAATAATGTAATTTTAGTCTTCAAGTTTATTTTAATTATTAATTTAATTTCTTAAATTTAATTTTTATCAATTTAATTCCTTAAATTTACTTTGGTTATGAATTTGATTTTGATTGTTTAAAAAAATGTTTCACTATTAAAATTTATTAACATGGAAAACAAAATATTGATGAAAGCCATATAAATTAATAAAAATAAATATAATTATTTAGGTAGGGAAAAGCAAACTTTAAACTTTTTTTTAAAAATAAGATGACAAAACACAGTATAAGGGATTATATTAATAAAAATCAAATTAATTTGAAACTTAATTTGTTTTCATTTAGATGCATACACATTAATATACTTTACATATTAAAATAATTTTAAGAGTCAATTTGTGTTATAAAACTTAAAAAACTCATACTATGATTTAAGAAAATATAACAGGCCAAATATTTAAAAATTAAATTCAAGAAAATTGTAATTGAAGCACACCTGAGGGATTAAAGTTTCATTATCTCTTTTTATTTTCTGTAAAGGACATTTTAAAAAGCATGCATCCAATTAAGGTTTATTCCCATACTTATTTTATTTTTTTTTGAAACAATGATTTTATTATTTTTTGAATTTGCCCAAAAGTATCAAATATCGCTTCAACAAAGCTTTGTCTAATGAATAAGACTGTAGCTAATATGTCATAAACTCATAACAGTATAAATTCGAACCTTCTTATTAATGGGAGAAATTTATTAAAAAATTGTTTGCAAACAACTTTTTAAGTGCTTTTGAATTGCAAAATTTTCTTTTATCAAGAAAAAAAAATATTATAAGAGGGCAAATTAGCTAGTTAAAAAAGTTTGCAATTTGAACTTTATTTAAACTCATATACTGTAACTTGAAAAAAATAACATTAAATAAGGATAATATAAAAAATATGTAGTAAATATTTTATATGGTGCTTTATAAAAAGATGAGAAATTTTTTCCTCTATCTATCTTCTAATCATCGTTTGAATACATCCTCCAATCACTGCAGTTTCTTGACTGCATATAGATTGGACAGATTCCCCGAACGATTTTTTATCTCTAAATACATAAATTTATTAAACGTAAATTAATCGAATAAAATTACAAACACACCTATAAACATGATATAAAAAAGCATTACCAAAATACACGAGTTTCATGTTAATATATATATATATATATATATATAAACGATCTATTTAGTTTCATCAAGCTTTTATAATCCAAATCATTTAATTTTTCTAAAAAGTTATGATAAAAATATTATTTACGTCCAAAAAAAAATCTTGATGAGTCTTAAACAGTACGTATTTGTCTCTTTCTTTCTCCCCTTCTATAGCTGGTTTGAAATATCTACAACAAATCTCACTAATTTTTTATAGGAGAAAGTTTAGCTGAATTGGTTTAAAATATTTTATATAAACTCAAAAACATATTATCAATTAACAAAGTTCTCACATTAACAGCAGAATTTAAATTCATGACTTTATAAGTTATGAATTAAATTTTTATCAATTGAAATAATCTTTGTTGGCACAAATCTTATCATTTATATATTATGAATAACCCAAGGCATTCTTAAAATTTCAATGCAACACAAAAGGCCTATATGTATGCAGTAACTTTGGATAAGCTTGCAATTTGTCTTCCTTCTTCTTCTTCTTCTTCTTCTTCTTCTTATTATTATTAACTTTGAATCATGTCACATAGTGAAAGTAGGATTTCCTACCAACCCCTTGATATGCGTCAATTTCATTGAACACAGATATTATACGAATTCTCTTCATAGCTTAAATCACATTAATGGACACCTCAGCATACATTTACAGTTACTTACAGTTGAAACAAATTTGTGATGACTTGAGCTCTGATTGGTCTTGGTCGGCAAGGAAAGTGTCGGCACAAGCACAAGGCTCTGTTTACAGTTTTCAAGAAAATAAGCTAAACTTGAATTGCATTAATTTAAAGCCATAAGTCTGAATTCAACATTCCTATTATATTTTAATTTATCACATTATATATACTTATATTGTATAATTGGAAGTATTTACCAACTAGATACCAACCACCAAGTGTATGAAAAATATGAGAGCTTGAGTTCAAGATATACTGATTTCCCCTATTACATTCATGTACGTTATATGCCATTGATGATCCTTCTTTATTTTAAAAAATTATCAGCACATTCATGTTAAATACAATACTTTCCCTACTAGTTCCATACATACACACATAATATATATATATATATATATATAATATGGTTTAGGCCCCTCTTCACATCCCAACTGAGTTTTATTTCTTATTTGTGAGTTGGTAAGGAGTTAAAAATTCAAGAGTACAACTAATTTCTGATTTATATATATATGGATATGCTTGTCCACTATTCCCATGTCAAATATTCTGCTTTCTCTTTCTCTCTGTCTGTGTTTTGTCTCTGTTTAGTAGAATCCATTAAACTGAGTTTCTGAGACACAACAAAATGGGGAGGCAGCCAGCAGATAAGGCAAAACCAAAACACAGGAAGGGGTTATGGTCACCTGAAGAAGACAATAAGCTCATAAACTACATCCTCAAGCATGGCCATGGCTGCTGGAGCTCTGTTCCCATTAAAGCAGGTATGTTCCTTCTTTCACTTCCCTCTTCCTGATTCCTTATCAATTTAAGTATAGACGCAGATTCATGCACATGATTCAAGTATATACACTTAAATGCTATGAAATTTTAAGTGTTCAAGTGTAATTTAGAGAATGACTTTTCATCTGATATGGGTGACTGATAAATGTAATAAGTTTTCATGAAGAAATGTTTCCCTTTATCCATCTGGTAAATGTAATCAAACACTAATGTGAGCAGACTTTTCAATGATTCTGGCAACCAGATATTTGAGTTGACCAATAAAAATTCCGCAGCTGAACCGAATATGTTAATGTGTCCAACCATTTATAATCTTCTCTAGAGATACAAATTACAAGGTTAAATCATCAGAGTCATCATTGTAAAAGACAACTTCAGCATTTTGATACTTCTGACAAAATAGACATTTTGAGTCAACAGTAGATTCTGCTTATGATAATAAAGATGTAAGAGTGAAAAGATGGATGGTGACTTTTGGTTCGCCTAAATAATTATTATTTATTCTTTTATTTTTTATTATTAATGAAAATGCTATTGGCTGATGGAGTTGAATGAAATAAACAGGCTTGCAGAGGAATGGGAAGAGTTGCAGATTAAGGTGGATCAACTATCTAAGGCCAGGATTGAAGAGAGGGATGTTTAGCAAACAAGAGGAGGAGACAATCTTGACTCTTCACCACATGTTGGGCAACAAGTAAGCAGTAACACTGAGTCTATTTTCAAATTTTCATTAATTCCACCAATTTCAATTTTTTCTGTTCTGAAAATCTAAGGCAAAAAAAAAAAAAAATTACCCTGTAAATTAGTCAATATTACTGGTTTAGAGGTCTAAGTCAAGAAGTAGCTGTTAATTGTCAATAAAATGAGCAGCCAGTGGGTCCTATCTAAGCTATAATTAAAGGAAAAGACCAATAGGTTAGTCAAACCATGAATTGGCATGCGTTTTCTTTTATTTTAAGGAGGGGCAGATGTCAATGAACAATTGAATATTGAAGTAATTTAAGCCTACTATTCAAATCCCTAAGTTGCTGGCAAAAAAAAAAAAAAAAGAATCCCTATATTGAACCCTAATTCTCAAATCCAATACCCTATTAACAAGCACCAAAGAATCTTTATCACTTTCACTTTCCCGAATCAATTTCTCAGAAAAGGCAGCATTCCATAGTAATCCATATTGTAGTGTGAATTTTTTTCCTTTTCCAATTTCTTTTTCAGAAATTCTTTCGTTAGACAAAGCAAAATAGCATCATGTGATTCATGTAAACAATCCCACTTAGTGGGATAAGGTTTTTGTTATTTTTCTTGCTGTATTGATGAGCATCGCTCAGTACAACTAAATTATATTGATCAGGTGGTCACAGATAGCACAGCAGTTACCAGGAAGGACAGATAATGAGATAAAGAACCACTGGCATTCATATTTGAAAAAGAAAGTGGCCAAGTCAGAAGAAATAAAATCTCAAAATAATAAACAAATGCAGCATGCTAGTTCAAGCTCAGATACCTTTGATTCCTCTTCACCATTAAGTCAAAAACCAGCAATTCCAACCTCTGATCACTTCTCTTCTTTGCAAAACTATAACTTCATCAAAGAGGCTACTCAGAGCTCCTTACCAAAACTTCTATTTGCTGAGTGGCTTTCGCTAGATCGAGCCAACAGTGGGATCCCTGCAAATGCTGGTGATGACCCTTTTGTGTTTGGAAATGAAAGTTTTGATCAATACTCTGATTTCCATGAAGTCGCAATGCATGGAGTATCAGAAGGAGGAACCTATGGAGGAGAGTTCCTTAATTATCTAACGACCACAGATGCAGCAGCAGCAGCTACTGAAGTGTTCAATGCACAGTTCAAGATAGCAAATCAAATGGCGGGAAATGGGGTCATCCATTTCCCAAGTTTCAGCATGAACAATGATGAAATGTACATATAGAAGCAGAGTTTCCAAAGCAACTCAAAGAAGGAAGAATAGTTTATAATACTTTACAGGAAAAAAAATCAACCTACATTATAAACACACAAACACGCGCGCGCACTTTCATTATGAAGTTAGTCACTTCAAATGAGTTCGATAGGATACCAGAAAAGTGTAATTTAACTGTTACTCATTCTGAGTTGCTTCTGCATGCATCTATAAAATCTTGTTTCTGATTACAGAGTCAACATGTTGTGGTTTCATTTCAATGATGTTTGCTGCAAATCTTGCACATCTCGGTGTTGATTTATATGTTGTCCATGATATTATGAAAGGACTTGAGGACAAGTGACAACTTTAACGTTCCAGACAATTACAGCAAATAATATGAGAGCGCAGGATGATGATAATCTGTTTTGAGTAAAGCCCCATTTATTTCCTCCAAAGATGATTTCAGAATCACCTAGCTCCCTAAGGAAGCTCTGTATCACTTTACAACTGGGGAATTTTTATTTCTTTTCAAGCCCATAGAATATTTTCTCTTTGATTGATTTGCATCAGGTTATGTTGCTATCTTTGGAAGAATGAATTTGGATCAAAACCAAACTTTCCAACACAAAAGTGGTTAGAAGACCAAGTTAAGCTGTTAAGGGTTTGCTCTAATTCTTTTGGTATTTACAATCCGGTGATGTTTGGGTTAAATTTCGCGTTTTCTTAAAAAGCAAGGTATTCATAAAAAGATTAGGGAACCCAATTTGAGACTAAATAATATAATCAAGACAGCATGAATGATTGACCGCTTTCGCCAAGAAAAGGTTCCTGCTCAATAGCTTGCAGAGAAGCTTTTAGGCTCTCTTCAGATTCTCATACAAGCATGGTAAGCCATCTAAGGGTCATCAAGAAAAGAACCAAGCACAATTTTATATTCCAACTGGGGCAGATTTTCTGATTTCTTCTCATCTGTGGTTCACAACATCAAATCGCAAACAGTAAACCCAGTACATTTACACACATGCACCCATCCCGAATAGTTTATATAGTATAAGATAGAAGATATCACTTTCCAGCGAAACAACAGTACAAACTCAATGACATATGTCATAGTTATTTAAATTTTCTCTCTTTCAACTCTCTCTTTTTCCCACACGTGAAGGAATCTATGCCTTTCCAAGTTCCAACACCAAATTTGTATTATGTTTTGATCAGGGACGCACAATGTAACCCTCGAGTCCTTCGAATACTAGTTGAATCATATTAGACCCTTCTCATTAATCTTGATCTCAGACTTAGTAATATCAGCTTGAAATCATAACGTAGTCTGTGAGGACCAAGCTAGCCCATAATAAAACCATGGAAGCAACAACAATGATCATAATAGGAGTCCATTTCAGTGCAATGACCTGTATACCAAAAGAACGAAACTGTATATAACATATTTGTTCTGACAACTGAGAGGAAAGAAGAAAAATGTTCAAGTTAGCCTACTTCATAGTCATTAGAAGCAATTTATATGATACCTCAAGTTGAGGAGAACCCCATATAGGGGATGCTGGTGGAGGAGTTGAAGGCAATCTTCCCACTGTTTCTGCCAGTACAAGATATTTATTATTATATGAAATGGAAGGTTGAATAACTATGACAGCACTTAGACTTCTACTGAATTTTCAATATGGTTCTTATAGTTTAACATTTTGTAATTGAGTGCTTCTACCTTTAATATTTTTTAAATCGGTCCAGCTCAGCCTAGCCATATACCCCACATGTTAAACACATAAATAGAATTTACTCCATCATTCACCTTTACTCTTCTTGCTGCATGAATCATGCATATTTAGACTAGCAAGATTGAACTACGAGACAAACTTAAGTGGATAGAGTCACAATTTTGATCTGTCTCGTGGACCATTTTTTGTTAAAAAAAAGTGCTATGATGGCATACAAATGCTTGAATTAGCAGAAATTGTACTCACGTTTAAGTTAGACCAAATGAAAATTTTTTAGAACTAGAGAATCAACAACAATTTTTTAATTATAGGGATCAAATTAAAAATTGTGAGAAATTCTGAGGACCAGAGGATCAATTTAACCAAACTAAATAATCCGAAGCAATATTTAAACGGTTCAGGGGGGAAAATCTTACCTGGACCTCTCCTTCTTAAAATATTGGACATAACTTCAGTAACAACATCTATGTCTTGTTTCCGATTAGCATTAAGTTTTGAAAGGTTGACCTGAGTTCTTGTATCAATGTATTGTCTTCTAATATTTGCAATTATACCATCTGCCAAAGAAATTGGAATATTTTTGCCAAGAAAATATGTGAAAGTTGCAGCTGCTAATATAGCTACCGAGAGAAAGAGAGAGAGATCTGGAAATTTTTTCCTCACATTGACGTTCATGCTAGATGCTTATTTTATAGCTATGAATGAAAATTACCAAATTTGACAAAGCTGTATGGCCTTGTGATTTTGTCTGTGAGGGTTTTATCAAACTTCTCAAACTCCTTTTGTAAATCTTGAAGATAATGGAAAGCCAGTTTTCTTGGGTACGAGGAGTCACACAACACAATGAAAACAACTCCGTTCTCGATCAAGTAGCTTAACCAATACCAAAAGATAATTAATTGCAGTTAAATTTCATGAATTCAAGCATTTTGGGGAAAAAATCAGCTTAAAAAAACTGGCCAAAATAAAAGAAAAAATTTGTTTTAGAAAATCAAATCTATAGCTTAAGCCTTAAGCAAAACGGCTCTACAACTCAACTTCTCATTAAAGGAACACTAAAATGACCCACCAAAGAATTCTGAAGTGAGAAGATAAGAATGTGAAGCAGAACAGAACAGAAATAAGAGGATCAAGAGTTCATGTCAAAGAAATAGGTTAATTACTCAATTAATTTATGCAAATTTCAATGCAGTCCCAGGTTTAAATTTGAGAGATCTCAAACTTTGTTAGCCTAGAAAAGGATGTGCTATCTTAAGCTCTAAACTAGCAGAAATTACACCAACTCAGCCCAGTGACTAGTGAAAGAACAATAATCATCTTCATCCCTCTTACGATCTCGTCAGATTATTATCCTTCTTCATCAGTGATATGGGTTGTGTTTACGTTAATATGCATTCTAAGTACCACATATAACAGGCTAGCCCAACAGAGAATTAAAGGATTCTTAAAAAGTGTTAAAACTGTATTGCAGGGATTTAAATTATGAAAGTCAGTGAAAAGGAGTTTACAGAGTTTCAGAATACAGAAGAAAGGATACTTGAAACTGTGATGATCAATAGGAATGGTCATCTTGGAGGCCGTCAATGCTCCTCTTGAAATTTCTTGGAGGATGAGTTGTGCTTGTTTCTGGTAAAAAGAAAGATACCCATTTTCTTCATTCACATATCTCAGACCTTGAGCTAGAGGTAATCCATCACTAACCCTTCCTACTATTGTCAGCTTCACCATTTCCTGAATACTGCTTCAACAAGGTATATAGTAGATGAAGCGGAAATTAGGGCTTTTTATAGGGCATATTAGGTATTAAACAACTTGGAGAAGAAGTGATTCTGAGGATGTGCTGGGGAAGGAAAAGGAAACATTGTAGGAGAAGAAAAGATGAGGAAAAAAGAAGAAGAAAGGGGGGGGGGTTTAACAGGTGGAGTAAACCCATTTGGCACACAAAAAGAAGAACCTTTTCCATCTTTTTCCAGTCTCTATGGTTTCCTCAAATTCAATGATTTAGTTTTAGAATTTCATTCACGCAAGCGAATTTTATCAATCAAATATGAAATAATATCCAAACACAACATCAGATTTATGAGAAAGACATCTCTTTTATTTTTCAAATCAAAATAAAAGACTATACCTCAAAGTGACTCAACAGAAGCATTGTGTTTCTTGCACGTATCATGCAACAACTCATTCCTTTCGCAGACAAAGCTCGCACTATGTCATTGCACAATCTAACTTTCCTGGATTCCAAGCCCTCAAAGATTCTCATCAATCGGTGCCTTAATTTTTCTAATGAAACTTATACGTCAGCCTCTGCATTGATCCATGTACATTATCTTTAATCTATCTCGCTTGTGATAGTATCCACTGCGACCACATGTGTCTAATCCAAGTATAGTTTTCTGCATCGAGATTTCCATCAAGTCTTCTAACCTAGGGGCTCCCAGCTTCGATTCTCACATTCCATATAACCAATCTTGAAAACTCATCTAACCTCTGTACAATCACAAATAACAAAGTGCCGAAATAATTTAGTAACCTGTACCTCTAGATCTTCAATCCTAACAGCGTTAACTTGAACGTGATCCGAAACTGCCACACTGGTAGGCAGGCCAGCCCCATATCATCATTGTCCTGAATAGCCTTGATTGAAAACCTGACATCATTAAAGATGAACAGCGGACACAGCGTACTTTTGTAAGCTTCTTGGCTCGGAGGATTTTATGATGGCAATGAACCATTAACTTGTTTTTCTTTGGAGGTGATGTTTGAATTCCTGTATGGACGGATTTATATAAGAGGAAACACACGCGCGCGCATGCGTACGTTGCGTTGCTCTGTAACTGTTTCATGCTCAAGAGTTTATTGAACCGATCGAGCATCGTTAATTAAACTTGAATGGTTGCTAAATTTGAGCTTCCTTCACGAAACCAAATGCATTGTGCCAATTCGGTGTTAACGAAGGTTTGACATGTATTCACCCAGTCCCACGCTGTTTGTTCCTTGTTTCATTAACACTAGACGACACATTGAAACTTGAATCTTCCTCATTTCCTCAGCACCAATGTGATGCATTCGCTTGGAGTGTTAGATTTTGTGGAATTTTCAGAAGGGTAAAAAAGAAAACTTCCCAACAAAGTCACCGTTTCATGGGTCCGTCTCAGTGGGCATTCGTCAGTCTTCTGCCTGTCAAATGTTTGACTAATTGTTTCACTGAAAGTTCTGTCGTTTTCTTCGGTTGAAATCATATGTCTGGTTAATGATCCCTTACGGGGTTACCCTCTTTTTCATGGGTTTTAATGTTTTTATATTTATGCTTGTTTTCTCTTTCTCATTTTGCGTTCCTAGGAAGAAAGAACCCCAGCCATTGCCTTACATGGCATGTATGCATTAAATACGGTCCTGGTTCTTTACGCCGCCCAATTGTACTGTACTCTTTGCATTTATAGCTATCTGATTGTTTTCATTGCTTCCCCTTCAGTGGGTTTTCTACTGCAACACTCTTCTTCCTTTTCATCTGCTCCTTCCTCTTCCGGCTCCTCCTCTTCCTCTTCTTCTAGGTTATTGAAAATAGATAAGGAAAAAGAACACATCGTATACAGTACTTAATCTATCTTGTAATGAGAGGGTGAAGATGGGGAGGTCACCATGCTGCGATAAATATGGAGTGAGAAAGGGAGCTTGGACTCCTGAAGAAGATCAACTCTTAGTTCAGTACATCAAGAAGCATGGCTGTGGTAGTTGGCGTACGCTACCCAAGAACGCAGGTTTATCTTCCTGCACACCTCTCTGTTCTTGTTTTTCCTGCACTTACTTTTGTTACCTATAGGTCAAAACTGGAGAAGCATGGTGATGGTGTTTGATATTGTTTAATACAGTATGTCTATCCACCGAAAAAAAAGAAGAGAGAAAGTATTTATTTTGTCTTCATTATCCGTTTCTATATATTAATATTTCATACATTCCTGTTAATATAGTTTGTTCGAGTATGGTCAACTCTGCGTATACATGGTCATTTTTTGTTTGCCTATGCCGGATCATGGGTTGGGTGGGAAGGTAAAGGAGGATGCACCGGCAAGGAGCTTCTGGAATGTTTGTAGCTAGGGTTAAATCTTGTTTATGAAGATAACATATTGTTGCACTTTTCCTCCAGCCCGCAATTCCTTTTTGCCCTGAAATTCTCTAGTAATAATGAAAATTAGAGGATAGGAAAACTGATATAATGATTTCACCAAAATATATATATATATATATATATATAATAATGTAGGGGACCATATGATCTATCTCCTAAACTTTCTTTATTTGCATGAATTCTAGTCAAATCCTTCGTGGTGAATTTGATGTGTCCATGTCACTCTGTAGTAACGTATTATTGAATCTTTGAGGACTACATCTACTGCAACTTCTTTTGGTACAAGGTTTTAGTTATTCACTTAGCAATCTGATACTCAGAGAAAATGCAAATGCCAATTTCTTCAGTAACTCGGTAGATTTTAGATTATCAATCTGATTCTCAGAGAAATCCCATAGTAGAGTTCTTTTTATATGATGTTACTTCCATGAGAATTACAAAATAGAAGGGAATAAATTACTGATTATATCTGTTTGCTGTAATTCTATGAGCAGCCTCTGTATGTTGCTGCTCTCATACCGTTTCTGGTTAACTGCATCATGTTTCTTCCCCAAAAAGTAGAGGGAAATAAATAATGCAGGGTAAAATGATAAATGATCAACAAGGTAAAATGACCTGATATTTCAAATTCAATTATATTAATATTCAATGCGCACTTCAACCAATTTATTTACCTTGTGCATACAGAGTAAAACTTATTATTCAGTTATATTTTCCCCCTTCTAAAACTTGTTCAGAAAATTGTGTTGGATGGAGATTTGTTGTGGTGATGACGGTGGAAAAGTTGATACACTCCAAAGAAGAAAAATACGGTGGTCTTGGTGGAAAAAAAAAAAAAAGATGGAAATTTAAGTCCACTTCATCCTAATGATTAATAAACCTTAGGGCATGATTTATGGTATTTTGCATTTCTCTCCTAAATCCAAGTACGTGATTTTATCAGAAGACTTTAACTATGCTCCAAAATAGTATCAATACCTATACTAGATAGACTTTATCTATTAGCACTTCTTAATATTTATACCATGACTGTGACTAGGTCTACTTCGATGTGGAAAAAGTTGCCGACTTCGGTGGATAAACTATCTTCGTCCTGACATCAAGCGTGGCCCTTTTACTGGTGAAGAAGAAAGTAAAATTATTCAACTTCATGGCATGCTTGGCAACAGGTAGTGCATTGATCCCCTTTGCTGATTTTGTTGAGCACACTAATACACACTACTCATGCTCTGTGATAGCTCATTGTAGTCATGAGCTGCAGAAGAAAACACAGTCATGCCTAAGCTCTTATCTTGAACCAAGTGAATCAAATTGATGAAATTGAAACATTTTATTTGTAGTTGCAATGGATTTCTGGAGAATATTGTGCCCCTCATTCTCTATGCTATTGTGCATATCTTTTACAGCATATGTATATATATATATATATATATATCCAAAAGGAAGAAAGGTCTTTTATGATAGGGGTCTCATCCCCATATCATTAATCTTCTCATTCTAATGTCTTGTAATTTCAACATTTGGCTGCATTAATATTGTGCATGTCTTTTACAGCACGTGTGTGTGTGTGTGTGTGTGTGTGTGTCCAAAACGAAGAAAGGTCTTTTATGATAGGGGCTCATCCCCATATCATTAATCTTCTCATTCTAATGTCTCGTAATTTTAACATTTGGCTGCATTAGGTGGGCTGCTATAGCATCTCATTTATCTGGAAGAACGGACAATGAAATTAAGAACTATTGGAACACCCATCTGAAGAAGCGCTCCCTTCACTCAGGTCATTCTCTGGAGGCACAAGAGCCCTCTTTCGGTCCTCGTCAAAGTGATATGAAATCCGAATCTTCTTCTGTACGTCACGTAATCCAGTGGGAAAAGGCCAGGGTTGAGGCAGAAAAAAGGCTGTCAATGGAATTGGAAACCTCGTGTCTTAATCATTGTTCTAAAACAAACACACATTCTGATTGCTTTCTTCGACTTTGGCATTCTGAGGTTGGACAATCATTTCGCATGATCACAGAAAAGAAAGCAGAAAGCGAAAGCCCTACCTCGCAATCAAGCATTGCCTTTGCCAACTTGGCTATAGAACAAGTAAGCAGCTGCAACCCAAAGCTTGAAGGTGGAACAGCTGGGTCAGACTCAGGGTCTCATGAATTTCTTGATGCCTCTGATTCTGCATTAAAGCTCCTGCTAGATATGCATGATGACAGTGTAGGATTCTTTGAAGGATTGGAACAGACTGAGAATTTCCATGGTCATCTGCATGATAGATATGACTAAACGTCTAAACCTACTGCATATCTTCTCTGGAAAGGCAATGCCTTGATGAAAAGAAAATTTTGTGCCTTTCTGTTTCTTCATTTTTGGTATATGTAGTCTAGTGACTAGTCACGGCTCAGCTGCTTTCCCCATATACTCTCCATGTTTGCCACTTGTTCGAAGGCTTAGGGGTAACAAGTAGGAAAACTAGATAAAGTGGTTGCTAGAATTCAAAATCACCTTCCGCTTCATAGTGGTGAGAAAAGGGTTTTGTAATGCCTTTTGATTAATTTCTATGTTACTTTCACCAGTCTTACCTTCTCTTCGCTCCTCTCTTTTTAAGACTGATTGGTGCTGAAGAGCTTACAATTGAAAATAATCCTCGGCATGATACCAAAATCTTCAAGATCAAATGTTCAATAATTCAATCCTTGCCACCTTGATTTTATTTTTCCATAAAATAAACTTATGCAATATTTGGTAAATAGAAAAGTGTTTTTAAAAGAGAAAATGAGAAATGCATCTTGAAAAAAAATGGAATAGATACATCTTCCATTTCCTTTCTAGAAAATATTTTTTTTACTTTCCAAATATTGCATTAGTTCCAACATAAGGTATGGTAAACCTATGCTTCATATGCAGTGTTATTAAGAAAAATTCAGCGTACCACAAAATAAATTATAGAATTTCATGTCTATAGCAATTAGTCCACTCACACCAACATTGATATGCACACAAAATAAATGAACATCAACTAAATCCCCAACAAATAATTCAAATACAAATAACACCTGTACTGACACCAACAAATAACACATCTGTACTGACATTTGGACAGTCAAAGAAAATACACTAACCACGGTTCAGCCAGGAAAAAAAAAAGAAGAAGACACCAACAATTCAACGTTCTTGGTTTTCTTGTGAGATCTTAGGATTTCAGTATCAGAAACAGCCAAGGATCTTCTTTGGAGCGGTTCCAGTGGCCCTGTATTTTGCAGCTGCTTCCTCTGCCTTGAGAAGATCTTCCCCCTTCTTGGCATCAATAATTGCCCTCTTCTCTTCAGCCTCCTTGTGGATAATAGCTATTTTGTTTTTCATTTTCTCCACATATTCTGCCTTCTTCTTTTCAAGTTGTTCCTACTCACATACAGATTAGAAACAGAGAGAAGAATTAGCAGCAGACCAATATCTATTTAGAAAAAGGTCAGAAAAAAATAGTATGCAAAGAATAATTTTGATTAGTTTACATTCTAGTCTGGCACAACTAATTTTCTATTTCTTTTATTTTCAAGACTTTTTTAATTCGTTTTCTCATTTCATTTTTTCAGAAAAATACAGACTGGTTACAGAACAAATGAACAGTTATAGAAGTAGGAGAATTCAGTTCGTAGCAGCAGTTATAGTGAGCAGGATTTCAATCAATGGACAAACATTTTAACAGTACTCACAAAGCACTTCTGGGAATTACTAACAAAAAGGAAAGATTGATCTTACTTCAATCTTTCTTAATTCAGCCTCGATGGCTGCTTTCTTACTGTTTTCCCATGCTGAAATAGCTGATAACTTCTTGTGCGCTCTGCTCAAAAGATTCTAGTCAAATTAATATCAATGAAACCTTGTTGAATGAATATCAAAGACACAAATATCTTGATTGAATATAATGTAAAGTGTAATAATGCAAAGGCAGTTCCTTACTTGTTCTCTGCTTTTGATTTTTCACTTTCTTCCCATGCTTTGATCAGTGAAAGCCTCTTCTCTGTTGCAACTCTAGCCAGCACTGCATCTGCATAAGAAAAAGTTTATTTAGCCTCTAATGTGAGGATATGGAAATGCATAAAGGGATATAAAACAGTTGAGATACCTCGATTCACAGAACCTTCAGATGGTTTCTCTTCAGAAGCTTCATGAGGCTCTAGATTAATTAACAACAATGAACACGATGAAGTCATTATATCATGGTGATAGTTCAACCACGCAAAATACACAAGTATTGATACACTGCGGCTCAGAAGTTCTATGTTTTTTTTTCATTTATTTATTTTGGGTATGATACCACATACATGAAAGAAGGTAGAAACACTCTACGGATTCATCAACCAATCATTACCGCAGAGTGTTCACAGGCTTTACAGAACTTGATAAGTTAGTTATTCTCACCAACTTCCTCTGTTGTTCAATTGGTGAACTTTCGACTTACAATCACTATCCTATACCGGAATGTAATAGGATGATCATAATCATGATCTTTAATCCAGACCTCATTTACTCAACCACTACAGCTGGCCTTAAGTAGCCTTAAATTTGAACTTCAGATACACTTTTCATCACCAGGTCACAACAAATAGCTGAGATCAGTTTGAGTACAGACACAGAAATTAAAGGATGACTTGTAAGAAGCATCACCATTGAGAAGAAGGTACAAATGAATTATATAATCAGAGTCCTGTTTTCTTGCTTTTAAGATACCCAAACGGCCAAACCTCTCTTCCTAGGACAAGTCCGTGTTTCTCAACAGAATGACAATAGGCAAATACCAGCCATGGTAAACTCGCAAGAGAAGGAAGAAACAAGAGTACGCAATAAAAAAAATCCTTGTTATATATAAAACAAAATCCTTAAATTGTTTTTTAAAAAATAAAAGTTGAAAGTATATATTCATTTGAGTCAGTTTTTTTTTTTTAAAAAAAAAAAGAGAGAGCATTCATTAGAGAGAGAATTATGTATTTTGAGTCCGTAAAAGATGAAAAGCCTTTCAGAAACTCAACTGGAAAAGAATAATTCATTTGACGAAAAGAGCAGAGATAGTTACGAATTAAACTCAGGAAATTATCAGATGGCCATGGAAAACAGAAGAGCAAATATGACAAGTTACATATAAGAAACTTGAAAAGAAATTCACCAATTCACCATATATATATATATATATATATAACGACAAGGGAAAAAAAAAGGTGTTCAAATATTGACTCGTCCACTGAACCAGCCATAAAATAAACAGAGTAACCATGGAACACAATCACACACTGACACAGAGAGATATACATATCAATACATATATATATATATATATATATATATTCCGTTGAGTTAATTTTCTGAGGAAGCAAACATATATAACAGGGAAGCGAGAAAGAGATGAAGATCAGTATATACTCTCAACAAGAGCAAGAGCCTTAAGGTCCTCAGAAGGAGGTTGAGGAGTTACAGATTTCTCCTCAGTGACATCCTTCGGAGGCTCCTCATGAGGCGGCGGCAGCGGGTGTGGTGGGGGAGGCTCCTCATGAGGTGGTGGAGGCTCTTCATGAGGCGGCGGCGGCGGAGGGTCCGACGAGGATTGAGTCTCAACAGCTTTAGGTTGCTCCTCTGTCATGCTGTTCCTTTCCTTCTTCAGAGTTGAGTTGTGATTCCTTACAGAAAGCTTGTGACGACGACGAGGAGGAGGATTTGAAGCAAAGGGGTGTAACGGAGCTTTCACTTATTGAGGAAAAATCAGGAATTGATGAGGAGGGAGAGAGAGGTGGCTAGGATATTATGGTTGGAGGAATAAGGTAACCGTATGAGCTCCAGAAGATTAAGGTCTTTGATATTCCAAAGGCGCTTAGCTGGATGGTGCATACAGGTGGCCACCCTCTCTCATCACTTGCCTCAATTCAATCGTACTACTTTCTTTTTTTTTTTTAATTTCTTTTTTTCCAATACTATATTCTTCCACTTTTAATTAATTAATAATTTAAAACTAATATGCGAAAAAAGATAACACCAAATCATTTGGTTAAGATACACTCACAAAAAGGGGCTCCAGTGATTTTACTTCGTCTTTAACACTAACAATTCTTTCACTTTCCTTATTGAGACAGAAGAAATATCACCAGACAAATACTTGGTTTAACTGATAATAAAATTATACCGTCTTAATTAAAGGTATTGATAGTAAGCTCTAGGAATTCAATTGATCGAGATTAGTTGAAATCTTGTTAAAGTCTTATCAACTCAAAGTGAGATTGATGATCCATGCAAAAAGAAGAAGGAGAAGGAAATTAAATAAAAATCATTTTGTCAAAATTTTTTTATTTTAAATAAGAGTAACTAAATCATAATAGATAAAACTAATATCAAATCAAATTATTGTTTCAACATGAGATAAACAAGAATGTGTTTGTATGTGTTTCTTTGTTATTTGTAATGGCCAGGTGGAAAAATCTTGACTTTTGAGTGGAAGATAGGGAAAATATCAACCAAGAATTGTAGGAAGAAATTCATAGCATTCAAAAATTAATAGATTTTGAATTTTTATTGCACTCTATTGGTACTTAGATAAAATTAGTTTTTTATATAAAATAATCAAATTACTCCAAAAATTTAAAATAAAAAAGTCACCCCCACTATCACTGATGTTGACCACCTAATCATCGACGAAGACCCTATTAATTATTTACCTTTAAATAAATTATTTAAATTTTAACAATAAATCATTTGAAATTGACAACAATATATTCAGGTTTTAACATGTTAAAAAAAATCAATAAGATAGGCTTAATTGTACATGTTAGTATTTCATCAATAAATATTTATTCATGTTTTGATAATAATCTATTTGTGATTATCAATAACAATACATTTAAATTTTTAATAAATAAATGCATAAATTTTAAAATTTTTAATTTATAATTGACCATATTAGATCAACAAGCATAATATTATTGAAACAACAAGTGCTATTCTAGAATTCATAATATACTGTTATATTATAGTGCAGAAGTGGTTTAAAAGTTTGAGTTATTACTTGAATTTTTTTATCATATATAATTAATAGATTTGGTGACTATTAAATTTTTTAAGTGATCAAAGAATTATAAGATTTTCTCCCTCGACAATTTTTATAAATTATTCTTGAATGTCATTGGTGTCAAGGCTCCTGTGATCACCTATCGGTGACCCTAGCTTAGTAGGGGTTCCAACGATCTCACTGCCAATTGGCTTTCCTGCGACGGGTTAGTGGCAAGTTCTGCTAATAGCAGGATGACTTTTTTCATTTTAAACTTTAGGCAATTTAGTCATTTTATGTAAAAAATTAATTTCATTAAAGGACCCATGAACCAAATGAAAATTGAAAATCGATTAGTCCTTGAATATTATAAATTTTCTCTGGCAATGCTTAGTGGATATTTTTCGTAGAGTCGTAGAAGACATGTATTCAAATATAAAACTCAATATATTTCGCTTTCACATCACTGTAGCTTTTTTGGCCTTTAAACCTTCTACTTCAATAAATGAATTTCTTCAAAGTTTGGTATTCACTGGTGGTGTTTCGTAGCGTGTATTAGTTAGTGCCAGAAAATTATTCTGAAATCAAATTCATAAAAAGTGTATTATGTCCGGTTATCCATATTACACAAAATTTGAGCAATAAAAAATTATTACACAAAATTTGATAAATATAATATTTACATTTTATAAATAAGTTAATTTATTTCCTATATTTTAATTTCATGCATTGCCTATTTAAAATTATAAGATATTTTTAATTAATGTTCACCTCTTATTTTAACTACACAAAATTTTATTTTAATTCCTTAATTTTATAAAGTATATTTTTAGTCTTTTAGATTTAATAAATTTAATTTCATCACAAAAAAATTTTAACATTAAACATTCAAATATTGATAAAATATAATTAAATGTTGACTTATTGAGTTTATTTTTTTAAAATAATTATGATTGACACAAAAAATAATCTATTAAATCTAATGATATTAATGTTAAAGAAATAAAAATATACTTTATAGAATTACAAAATTAAATTGAAACCTTGTATAATATTAAAGGATTAAAAATATACTTTAGCTAAAAAAATTTTAAAAACCTCATCACTTACTATTAGAAAATACCAAAAAATTTTATATGTTAAAACATGATATCTAAAAAATTACCTTATAATTTTGAAGCAAAAGAGTATTTGTTTTTTGATTGTTCATAGATATTCTCTTATTAAAGATAATTTCATTTGAGGCGTGTGGGCACTTCTCCAACTCATATTTAAATATTGATTTTCCATGTCATGAGGTACTAATTCTTTTTACTAGACTTAATCCCTATCCATAAAGGAGTATTTGTTATTCATATTCATATTAATGGTATAACTTGTATTTCTGAATTATAATTATGCAATAAAGGTGTCGTTCAGTCAAAGAATTGATATTAATATTAACATTAATACTGATGATTGGGTATTAATTTTATTTGTCAGTACGACAAATTTTTACGGTAGTCCAATTTAATACAAAATAAAACTTAATTTCCAAATAAAACCTTATTTTTAATCCGAGTGTAATTTAACTCCGGATACCAAGTGACTTGCTTTAAAAAATAGCGTGGACGTTACAGAATTATATGGTGCCCTAAGCCACTAACAGAAAGTTTCCACAAAATACATACATACATATATAATTTAGAAAAAAGAAACAATTAATTAACATCATCAAACACTCTAGAAAATTAGGAAATTTATAAATTGTTGCTAAATGAGACTTGACGACAATTATTGATATTTATGGATATAATATGTAAACGTCAATAAAGCGAGAGATGGGTGAATGACCCCTCATGACGATTTAACTTCAATTTATTATTAAATAATTTAAAAGCCTGATTAACATGTAATATACAGCACGCCAGTTAAATTAATTGTTGAGGCTGAGCTTGTCTTCAACATTAAGCTCCGCGTAGCGTCGTGACGCCAAAAAACAAAAAAAACAAAGCTATGTTTATTTTCATTTTTCATTTTTTTGTAGCGTGGAGAAGGGAGGCGAATACGGAAGATTTCTTTCATCAAAATTCAGTTATTTCTTCGCGATGACGAAATCTTCAAAATTTATTTAGTTCAATTTTTTAGTTTATTTATAAAATAATTAATAATTAATCATTTGATTTTTTTAATTTCAATTAAAATTCAATTTTTGAATTTTGACTCAATTTAATATAGTTTATTTTTTATCTATAATATAATATTGTTTATATAATTTTGATTTAGTTAAAACTCAAGACCTAAATTAGATTTTATATCCGGTACAGTGCGCAGGAAACATTAAAAATTAACAAAACTAAATATTATGTATATATTAGCTAGATAACTTTGTAAAAAAAGCAATATATTTAGAAGGTCTAAAATAGTATCATACAAGCATTTAAAAGAATAACAATAAATTTTATTTCCCAATATACATGGATGTTTTTGATATTTAGAAGTTAGAAGCAAATACCTTATTTATACCAAAAATATAAACATCTTATTTTATTTTAGAATTTAAGAAGAAAAAAAATTTAGCTCCCAAAAATTGAATTAAGTGAGTTTACAGACACTTTTTTGAAAACATATAAGGATGCAAATTTTAAAAGGCAGTTGCGAGAGAATGATGGATTTAAGGATTTATATATATATATATATATATGTATGTATGTATGTATGTATGTATGTATGTTAAAAGGTGATTGGGGATGGCAAATTTAAAACTTAGAGAATATGTCAGAGAGCCAATGAAAGAGTTAAAACAAAAAACAAAAAAGAAAGAAAGAGTTAAAAAAAAAAAAAAGAAAGAGTTATCCAATCAACAATCTTACTTAAAATCAGACTAAACCTCTAAATAATCAAAAGTTAAAAGAGAGTTATTCTTTTTTGTTTTAATTTTTGGTAGAAAGAATGGTCAATTATATTTTACATATAAAAAATGTAATTACACAAATCCTATCAAACATGATACCATGATGGCCACACACCTAGAATAAAGATGATACAATAATCAACTTCTAGTTGAGTTAAAAGAGAGTTATTTGATTTTTTTTTTATAAGAGATTGATCATATTGCAAACTCTTGGGTAAAAGGAAAATATTATGCCAATTAGTTTTTAAATATTGAAGTAAAATTACCAACAATAGTTACATTGGATGGAGCTTTAGAATACACCTTTAACTACTTTATTGAAATTATAGGGAGATGGTTAAGTCATGAATTATTGTTCAAAAATAGAATAATTTTTTAATTTTTTTCTATTTAAATAAACAATTTTAAACTTGCATCATATTTTCACTCATAGTTATTGAATTTAAATGGAAATAATATTAAAAAATATAATTAACACCTTAATGAGTATTTTGTATTAAGGACCATCAATCTCTTTTAACATGTTTCTTATAGCAAGGACAAGAGGGAGTATGGAGGAAGAGTTTTTTCCATTCAAAGTTTGATCTAGTTTGAATCTAATTGGATGATAATATTGGATAAATAATTTTAAAAATTATTGAGATAAAATTTAAATCAAAAGCCAATTTTCTCATAGTGACCTAAAATAATGAACTTGAAGGCCGGATGGAACACATCGATTGGTGGAAAGGGAACAAAGGAAATATAAAAACCCGTGAAAAAAGTTGATGAAAAATTGTCGATACCTGCAGTTTTTATGAATTGGCCTATTAATGGGAACAACAAAAACATCTTTTTAGTTATTCCTATTTTTTGTTTGTATTCTGAAATTTCACATGTCAACTTGATTCAGATTCCTTAGAAT